ATTTTTTTTTTTTGAGAGGTTTATGTCATAGGGTGCGTGCATTCGCCAGACAGACAGAGAGAGACAGAGAGACAGAAAGTGAGAAATCACCCCCCAGGGGGATGACCACGCTGCAATTCCTTCTCCTCCATTCTCCTCTTGGGATCTTGGGCACGTATGTACACGCACCCGGCGTGAGTTTTAAGCCACTGGGTCCAGGACTCAAACCACGGTCGTCTACATGGGAGTCCAGCAACATAGCCATTACACTAACTGCTGGTCCTCAATACATTGTTTTTTAAGAGAGATTTTTGCTAGGGTCCAATCACTCGTCAGACACCGAGATACAGAGAGACAGAAAGCAAGAACTCACCCCCTAAGGGAATGGTCATGCCTCAATTCCTTCTCCTCTAGGGATCTTGGGCACATCTTGGTGTGAGTTTTAAGCTTCTAGGTCTGGGATTCAAACTGCGATCAACTATGTGGGAATCCTGCAGCATAACCATTACTCCATCTATTGGTCCTATCACCATGCATTTTTGCATAGAAAAACATATAATTACTTTTCTGACACCCAATAGAATGAAGTAAACATTCACAAACCAGTAATTCAATGATGATAATAACAACAAAATCTTAATCATCATATACTATGATATCTCTCTTGGCTTCTTAGGATTTGGGTAGTGGATTCAAAGTTAAGTGGGTATATAGCTTCTGAAAAATGTGGATACATCTAGGGGTTTAGAATTTCATTATAAAGCTCTAATTTAACTTCCAAATGCAATCAGTTTTCTCTCTTGATGGCGTTATCTCAGTGGAACTGTTTTTACACTGTCATTCCTGTTGAGGTCATTTCTGGGGAGCTCATAAAGGTGTGGGAGGGAGGAAGATATTTCTTGAGGTAACTGAGTTTAAAAGTTTGAAGAGGGAGGGAAAGGAGATTCGGAGGACATTTGTGTTTGCTTACCTCTAAAGAAGAGATCGATACCCTTCTAGGTTCAGTGAGTTGTGACCGTGGGAAGAGAATGGAGGAAGGCTGATTTGTATCTCACGTTCCCTATTTGCAACATCAGCTTCTTTTATTGACCCCAGGCGTGTAAAGCAGAGTTTCCCTCTTTCTGTTTTATGGAGTAAGATGATTTTAGGTATTTTCCTTTATTAAAGCTTGTTTGGGTGTGTCATATTTGGGAAATGCTGTGTTTTTTAAAAAGTTTAGGCACTTCGGGGCCAGACAGTGGTGCAGTGGAAGTGCAGCTGGACCCACATGGGAGAGGCCCAGGTTCACATCCGAGGCCTCCCTGGCCATGCAGGGTAAACACATGCACGTCCATGATCCAGGTTGTGGAGGCTGGGGGTGGATTACAGTGTGAAGACCCCCGTTGTGATACCTGTCTTTCTGTTGCTCTCTCAAAATAAATGAATGAATACACTTTCATAAAAGCCCAAACACTTCAGCGCAGTGTGCACTGTGACTCAGGATTCGAGTTTGTCATTGTCCAACCAGGAGGCCTTGCTAAGCAGCATCTATGCTACCCCCAGCACGGGCCATGCTGATGTAGTTTGTTTAATGATTCGTGCATGGCCAAATCCCCAAAAGATACTTCCCCAGATCCCACATGAGTTGCTGAGAGGTGCCAGAGTGCAGTGGTTAATGTCACTCAGTACAGAGTCAGTCTGTCTGGGTTCGATGCCCAGCTCCGTCCCTGCCCAGCCATGTGGCTCTGGCTCTGACCCAACCTCTTTTCCATGAAAGGGGTCCTCGTTCGGCCGCTGCAGATTGTTGTGTGGGGTCAATAAAACAGTCAGTGCAGAACCTCTGGACTGGCTGGTACACAGTGAGCGCTCAGTGAGTGTCATGATTATCATGACGATTCCCATTACACTGATTCCCTCGTTTCAAGGCTCACAATAAAACAATTACCATACTCATCTCTCCTCCACCCTCACTCCTCGCCCAAACGAAACTACGATAGGAGTTTTTTTTATGTGTCAGAATGACTCAAAGGCTGGATTAAATTAGTGTAGTTGATGGTCTGGGAATATAATTAAAATATCTTTTATAGGGACATTGAGCTTTAGAAAGTAAGTACCTCTAAGAGCACGAGGCCCTGACTGAGGGTGGCCAGGGTGCTCATTGACAGGTCTGTTACAGCGTGGTACCTGTCGTGTGAACAGCTGCCGGTTTCCATTGTATCCATCCATGTGGCGGCTGCTAATGGGGCTTAATGAGTCTCCATTACCGCTGTCCAGACTGTACTGTTTTTGAATTAGAAGAAACAGTGCGCTGAGCAGAGAGGCTCTAATTAAGTGTCCTTGGAAGAGAATACACATGTATGTTATGCCCTTCCCACATTGTCCTTGCCAGTTCTAATTTTGCAGGTTCCAGAAGGTCAGGAAGCCTTTATTAAGCCTCCATTTAGTTATCGAAGTTGAATTCTAGTGGAAGGAAGAAAGAGAGGGTTCTACCCACAGAGAATATGACAAAAAAAGAAAATACTGTCTTCTTTGTTCTTTAATTCCTATTCACAAAGATCCCAGAACGAAGAGGTAGAGGATCTTTCATCCCTATGACTTGAGATGTGTTCTAGAGACTGGGCGTCTAGTGCTACCTTGGAAGTACTTGCTACAGGTGCCTGTTAACTGTTCTGGGAGAATCTCTGCTTCTCCCTCTTCTAGATGAGCCTGGGGATAATTTTCATTTCTGCAGGTGGCCACGACAGCCGTCACTCTAATCATTTCTTTCCCTCTTTTGCTGTTTTTTACTTTAATCCCATCGATCCAAGATTTTCATCATTGAGAAATTGGAGCTAGATTCCCTCTTTCCCAAATGAAAAAAAACAAAACAAGGAAAGAAGAAAGAACAATGTCATAAGACAGAACTCTCTGTGAAAAATTTGTTCTTTTCTATTTACTCTTCTATATATTTTCAGTTAAAATGACATAATGTTGTATTATTTTTCCCTCTTACATAGCAAAAACAGTTTCCCCAAATAATTAAGTATCTTTATAAATATACTTTAACTTGCATTTTTCTACTTACATAATTTTTGTACCAAATTTAAAAACTTAATATAATGCAAAACATGACAAACATCCACAACCCTTCTAGCTCCAGAAATAGCCAAAGAAACTGTCAACAATATGATTTCTAATGGTTGCTTAGTAGTCTGTTTTATAATGTCATAAATATCTGTGTGTTTTCACACAATGAAATGACAACCTCTTTATATATGTTGTGTTCTAATATTATATTCTTGACATCTTGGAGTTCTTTAACTTTGCTAGGTGAAACAAATGTTACAATGTAGATAAACATTATTTTCTTAATTTTCATCTACACGTACCTAGTGGGGTTGACTATTTTACATGTTCCTTTCCTTTTTTGTATATGATAACAATTCCATTTTTTTCATTAGTATTCATTTACATGAAAATCACTCAAATACTTATCTATCCCTCTGAATAATCTACTCATGTCCTTTTTAGTTTTTGTATTTTTTTTCTTCAACAAATGTAAAACCTGTTGGTTTTTTAAAGACTATGAATATTTCATCATAGTTGTTAGAATAGTAAGTTTTCAATTATTTTCTGCTTTGAAATTTTACATTACATTTTGGTGTATAAGTTTACTTTATTAAAAACCATGCTGAAATGTGATGTATTTTGTAATTTTTTCTATTGATTGTTAACTTATCTATATTAGTTTCTTAGGGCTGTGGTAGGAAAATACCAAAAGTGGGTCTTACAACAACAGAATTTATTACTTTGCATTTGTGGAAGCTATTGGGTCATCTGGAAAGTCATGACGCATTTTTACATAGAAAAACATGAAGAAAATACATCATGACTTTTCTGACAACCCAGTAGGAGCATGAGATCAAGGTGTTGGCAGGGCCATGTGTTCTCCGATGGCTCTAGAAAAAAGTCCTCCCTTGCCACTTTCAGCTTTTGATATTTGCCGACGGTTCTTGACATTCTTTGAGTTGATGCAATGCTGCAGCCTTGAGACCCTTCTCCCTGTGTGCCTTCACGTCGTCTTCATTCACCTTGACTTCCTTTTGTGCCTGTCTTTTACATTTTCTTTCTAAAAAGGACACCAGTCATGTTGGAGTAGGGTCCAGCCTAAGGATCTCTTAATTTGATTACCTCTGTAAAGACCCTGCTTCCCAGTGTGGACACATTCTGGGTACGATGTTAAGACTTCAGCACGTGTTTTTGTGAAGGGAGGACAGAGCAAAACTCATCCCCAGACAGAGGTTTAGAGGTGTGTGTAGATAAATACTAACATCTTCTTCTCCCTCTTCCTCTCTCTATGTAATTGACTTGTTACGTTTAATTCAGCGTACTTGCAATTTGCTTTGGTGCTTGTATTACTAAAGATGTGTCTCTTTTACCTGATGCAATGGCCAGGCGGCAAAATCATTGGTTGTAGTATTTGGAAATGGATTTTGTTTGGAACCTGAGTAATCTATTTGAACTGTAGAGTTGAAGTTTGTAGGATGTTTTATTTGTTTCATTTTTTCTTTTTTAAAGAGTTATAGGTGTTTTTAAATTTTTTTCACTTTTCTTTATTTTGTGTAGCATTTGATATTGATTTTGTTCCTGTTTTTCTGGTTTCTTCTTTAGGGTTTTCTTTCCCATCAAAATAGTAGGATGTGTGCCAATAGGTTTTCTAGTGTTTGTCATGTAAATGAATGAGAGTATCAATGAATAAAAATGAGATAATTGATTAGATGAATGAAGGGATAACTAACAGGAAGCTGGAAATGTGCTCTAAAATATTAGGAATAAAGGTTACAGATGTAGACTATAATGGGGTCATAGTGGTATTATAGACGTGGGTGAGATCACCTGAGATGAGAGTTTCAGTTGAGGAGAGAAGGAAGCAAATGATGGATTTAACTTTGGGAAGTGGCCAGGGCCAAGGAGCCTCTGAGGGATGGACATAGGATAGGAACAGAGCAGGCATATTCTACAGGCTTAATGCTTATTGGTTTTCCCCTCCCTTTCATCATTAGGGTTACAGAGATGTACTTCCAAATGAAAGAAATAAATGAAAAAGTGTCTTTTATAAAGGACTCCTTACTGTCGTTGGACAGCCAGGTGGGACACCTGCAGGACCTTTCTGCTCTGACCGTGGATACACTGAAGGTGCTTTCTGCTGTTGACACCTTGCAAGAGGATGAGGCTCTCCTCTCCAAAAGAAAGCGTTCTACTTACAGAACACTTCCCCACAGCTGGAGCAACGTCATCTGTGCAGAAGTCGTAGGCGGCACGGAGACCTCCGAGCAGAAGTATCAGTATTACAGCATGCCGGCTTCTTTCCTCCGGAGCCTGGCCAGAGGCCGGCGTCCCTCAACAGTGCAGAGGGGGGCTCTTCTTGAGCTTTCAGACTCTCGGACAGAGGCTTCAAATGTAAGAGATGACCAGGAAGAACAAGAAACAGAACATATGGTTGATTCTGGGGTGCCCTGTGACAGGGAAGCACACTCAAAGTCCAGCCAGTTTCTTTTGGTCCCCTCTTATCCAAAGCAAGTTCCTCTTTCTGCAGAAACTATCTTGCCTCTGTCTAGACCATCTGTGGAAGTAGGCACCGATGTGCTGGCAGCCGAACGGGTCACCCCGAGTGAGATCCCTGTCCCTCTCTCCTTGGACTTAGGCCCCGCTGTGCTGGCAGCCGAACGGGTCACCCCGAGTGAGATCCCTGTCCCTCTCACTTGGCAGATCCCACTTGTCTCAGAGCAGGCACCCGCGGCTGAACCCAAGGAGTGGTGCGAGCCAGTGGCTCAGGGACCAGACAAGCAAGACCAGGTGGAGCACGTTCTGCTCACTTCCAGTTGCACATCCGCACCCACGATGGGGACCTCCTTTCCTTCCCAAGTCAAGAACATGCAAACTGGAGGTGGATATGTGAACTGGGCGTTTTCAGAAGGTGATGAAACTGGTGTGTTTAGCATCAAGAAAAAGTGGCAAACCTGCTCGCCTTCTCTTTGTAACAGTGACTCCACAAAGCAGGAACCGTGCCAGGTGCAGATCCGGGGCAGATCTCTATCTGACAGCTCAACAAGATCGACCCACAGTAGTGATTGCTCAGAGGTGGGGCCATGGCTTCCACCAAACACATCCTCTTGGATCAATCCTCTCCGCCGAGACAGACCCTTCTTTAGGAGTCACAGTTTTAGATTCCACAGGGAGGAGAGATCGATGAAGACTCATCATATTAAAAGTAAGGAGCAAACACAAAACAATCAAAATCCAGTATTAAGTCCTCCACATTGTTACTGGGTTTTAAAACATCTATGACTCTTGACTCTTGAAGACTGCGTTCAAATATTCTCAATCCTTTTCACAAAAAATGTCCTTACCCCGCCATATTGTCTTAAATTTTCTCATGTAAACCATTTTCCTTACAGATCTTCCAAGACCCTCAGAGATAGGTCAGTCGAGCTGGGTCAAGTCAAAAATGCTGACCAAGGATGGGAGATTGTCCAAGAAAAAGAAGAAAACGCAAGAACTACAGGTGCCGGTGAGTATGCTGTATTCTGTCTTTCAGGTTTTGGGCAATTGAAGTAGTGGTCTGTCTTAGCATGGCTTCTCTTCAGTGTAAAGTGCCATGTACCTGAAGTAGCGTCGTGCTGGAAGCAGGGCAGCAGTAAGACATGGGAGTGAACGCCATTTATTTATTTGCTACCATGAAGGACTCCTCCAAAAAAACTGTTACGAACATGTGTGTACAAAGTGTTTTGTGGATATGTGTTTTAATGTTTTAATTTCTCTTTGAGAAATTCGTAGGTGTGGTATGCTGGAATCACATGGTAAGTGTTTAATTTTTGAAGAAATGAACTTCCAAACTACTTTCCAAAGTGATTGCAACAGTTTACATACCCGCCTGTAGATTAGGAGCATTTCAGCTGTTCCACATGCTTATTGATTCTCAGTATGCTCAGTCTTTTAAATTTATCCTATTAGTGGATGTGTGGTGGTAACTCATGGTAGTTTTGTTTGCATTTCCATAGTGATTAATGCTCTAGGCATTTTTTAATGTGTTTATTTGGTGATGTATCTATTCAATCTCATTAAAAAAAATGATTTCTTTATCGATTTTCTTTTGCCAGCGGGTTCATGCACTTGCAGGAGAGAGACAAAGAAAAGGGAAAGTGAGAAATCACTCCCCTGGGAGGAAGGTCACACTGCAGCCCCTTCTCTTCCATTCTCCTCTTGGGATTTTGTGCATGCTGGTACAGGTGACTTGCATGTTTTTCAGGCTGCTGGGTCTGGGACTCAAATAGCTGAAGTGGCCATGAGGGATCTAGTGCCATAACCCCCACACCACCTGCTAGCCTCTTTCACTTATTTTTAACATTGGGTGGTTGTCCTAATATAAAATTGTAAGAATTTGTTTTTTGGTGTAGTCTATATACTAAATCCTTTGTTGGATATTTGTTTTTGCCAATGTTTTATCTCAGTTGATAACTTGCCTTTTGGTTTTCATAAATGTCCCTTGAAGCACATTAAAATTTTGATGAAATCAAATTTTTTTTTGTATTATGTTTAAGAAATTTTTGCCAAACCCCATTTTACTAAGACTTTCTCTTAAGTTTTCTTCTATGAGTTTTATCATTTTAGTTTTTAGGTATGGAATCCATATTGAGATCATTTTTATATATGTTGATAGGTAAAAACACTAATTTCTTTAAAACAAAAACTTTATTCATTTCATCCAAAAAAATTAGCAAAATTTGAATTGCAATGCTACAGTTTAGCAAAAGATTATAAACATTTTGCACTTTAGTTAGACCTTTCTTTCTTTCTTTTTTTTTTTGGAGAGGTTTTTGTTATAGGGCATGTGCGCTCTCCAGAAAGACAGAGAGAGACAGAAAGCGAGAAATCACCCCCCAGCGGGGATGACCACGCCGCAGTCCCTGCTCCTTCTTTCTCCTCTTGGGATCTTGGGCATGCACGCACACGCACCTGGCATGAGTTTAAGCCACCTGGTCGGGGACTTGAACCGCAATTGACTATGTGGGAGTCCAGCGACATAGCCATTACACTAATTGCTGATCCCTAGTTAGACCTTCCTTTTAGGCAAATTGTTCTTCTGACGACAGATAAAGGAATAAATATGTGCTATTATGAGCTATTTCAGACAGTACAAAAAAAGGTTTTGATTTATTTTTCTCTTGTAAACAAAAGTTTATCATTTATACTTTTTTCCGGTCTCACACACACTATCCACCAATCCACCCTACTTTTTACCAATTACTTTCCCCTCTTACGGTCACTTGTTTCCTCACCAATCCTCTCCACCATCACATCTTTAAGTCTCTCAACCTGTGCCATAAAGTGCAGAAACTCAACACAAATTGAGTGCGGATATACAATGAGTATCTTTTAATGTCTGGCTCAGTGTCACTCAACATTAAATCTTCTATGTTTATCTATTTTTAGTGAAAAGATAAGAGTTTCTTATAGCTGTGTGTGTATGTATTCCATAGTGTGTGTGTGTATGTGAGTGTTTAGATATATATATCTCACACAGTTTTCCAACACAATCATCATTTTTTAGGTTAATTCCTTGTTTTAGCAATTTTAAATAATGCTCCAATAAATATGGTTGTGCAGATGCCTTTTTAATTGAATGCTTTCTTATCCTTTGGATAGATACCAAGAAGTGCGATTGCTGGGTCATATGGAAGTTCTATTTTTAGATTTTTGAGAAATCTCCATATTGTTTTCCAGAGAGGTTGGACTAATTTACATTCCCACCAATAGTGTGAAATAATTCCTTTTTCACCACAGCTTTGCCAACACTTACTGTTCTTTACTTTTTTAATCCTAGCCTGTCTAATGGAGATTAAATGATATCTCATTGTAGTTTTAATTTTTATTTCCCTTATGATTAAAGACTTTGGATATTTAAAATTTTTCATTTATTTCTTTGCAAATAAAGAAATACACATATATATTTTACTGGTTTTTATGTTCAATAATCTTGCTAAACTCACTTATTTGCTTGAGTAGGTTTTTTTTTCAGTTTCTTTAGAATTTTTCAGTGCTGGAAGCAGGGCAGCAGTAAGACATGGGAGTGAACGCCATTTATTTATTTGCTACCATGAAGGACTCCTCCAAAAAAACTGTTACGAACATGTGTGTACAAAGTGTTTTGTGGATATGTGTTTTAATGTTTTAATTTCTCTTTGAGAAATTCGTAGGTGTGGTATGCTGGAATCACATGGTAAGTGTTTAATTTTTGAAGAAATGAACTTCCAAACTACTTTCCAAAGTGATTGCAACAGTTTACATACCCGCCTGTAGATTAGGAGCATTTCAGCTGTTCCACATGCTTATTGATTCTCAGTATGCTCAGTCTTTTAAATTTATCCTATTAGTGGATGTGTGGTGGTAACTCATGGTAGTTTTGTTTGCATTTCCATAGTGATTAATGCTCTAGGCATTTTTTAATGTGTTTATTTGGTGATGTATCTATTCAATCTCATTAAAAAAAATGATTTCTTTATCGATTTTCTTTTGCCAGCGGGTTCATGCACTTGCAGGAGAGAGACAAAGAAAAGGGAAAGTGAGAAATCACTCCCCTGGGAGGAAGGTCACACTGCAGCCCCTTCTCTTCCATTCTCCTCTTGGGATTTTGTGCATGCTGGTACAGGTGACTTGCATGTTTTTCAGGCTGCTGGGTCTGGGACTCAAATAGCTGAAGTGGCCATGAGGGATCTAGTGCCATAACCCCCACACCACCTGCTAGCCTCTTTCACTTATTTTTAACATTGGGTGGTTGTCCTAATATAAAATTGTAAGAATTTGTTTTTTGGTGTAGTCTATATACTAAATCCTTTGTTGGATATTTGTTTTTGCCAATGTTTTATCTCAGTTGATAACTTGCCTTTTGGTTTTCATAAATGTCCCTTGAAGCACATTAAAATTTTGATGAAATCAAATTTTTTTTTGTATTATGTTTAAGAAATTTTTGCCAAACCCCATTTTACTAAGACTTTCTCTTAAGTTTTCTTCTATGAGTTTTATCATTTTAGTTTTTAGGTATGGAATCCATATTGAGATCATTTTTATATATGTTGATAGGTAAAAACACTAATTTCTTTAAAACAAAAACTTTATTCATTTCATCCAAAAAAATTAGCAAAATTTGAATTGCAATGCTACAGTTTAGCAAAAGATTATAAACATTTTGCACTTTAGTTAGACCTTTCTTTCTTTCTTTTTTTTTTTGGAGAGGTTTTTGTTATAGGGCATGTGCGCTCTCCAGAAAGACAGAGAGAGACAGAAAGCGAGAAATCACCCCCCAGCGGGGATGACCACGCCGCAGTCCCTTCTCCTACTTTCTCCTCTTGGGATCTTGGGCATGCACGCACACGCACCTGGCATGAGTTTAAGCCACCTGGTCGGGGACTTGAACCGCAATTGACTATGTGGGAGTCCAGCGACATAGCCATTACACTAATTGCTGATCCCTAGTTAGACCTTCCTTTTAGGCAAATTGTTCTTCTGACGACAGATAAAGGAATAAATATGTGCTATTATGAGCTATTTCAGACAGTACAAAAAAAGGTTTTGATTTATTTTTCTCTTGTAAACAAAAGTTTATCATTTATACTTTTTTCCGGTCTCACACACACTATCCACCAATCCACCCTACTTTTTACCAATTACTTTCCCCTCTTACGGTCACTTGTTTCCTCACCAATCCTCTCCACCATCACATCTTTAAGTCTCTCAACCTGTGCCATAAAGTGCAGAAACTCAACACAAATTGAGTGCGGATATACAATGAGTATCTTTTAATGTCTGGCTCAGTGTCACTCAACATTAAATCTTCTATGTTTATCTATTTTTAGTGAAAAGATAAGAGTTTCTTATAGCTGTGTGTGTATGTATTCCATAGTGTGTGTGTGTATGTGAGTGTTTAGATATATATATCTCACACAGTTTTCCAACACAATCATCATTTTTTAGGTTAATTCCTTGTTTTAGCAATTTTAAATAATGCTCCAATAAATATGGTTGTGCAGATGCCTTTTTAATTGAATGCTTTCTTATCCTTTGGATAGATACCAAGAAGTGCGATTGCTGGGTCATATGGAAGTTCTATTTTTAGATTTTTGAGAAATCTCCATATTGTTTTCCAGAGAGGTTGGACTAATTTACATTCCCACCAATAGTGTGAAATAATTCCTTTTTCACCACAGCTTTGCCAACACTTACTGTTCTTTACTTTTTTAATCCTAGCCTGTCTAATGGAGATTAAATGATATCTCATTGTAGTTTTAATTTTTATTTCCCTTATGATTAAAGACTTTGGATATTTAAAATTTTTCATTTATTTCTTTGCAAATAAAGAAATACACATATATATTTTACTGGTTTTTATGTTCAATAATCTTGCTAAACTCACTTATTTGCTTGAGTAGGTTTTTTTTTCAGTTTCTTTAGAATTTTTCACATAAATGATTATGCCATCTACAAGTAAAAATAGTTGTATTTCTTCCTTTCCAATCTGAAAGTGCTTTTTTCTTTTCCCTGTCTGATTATAATGGTTAGATCTTCCAGTATAATATTGAATAGAAATGTTAAAAGCAGGTATTTTTTCTTTATTTCTGCTAGTAGGGGAAAAGCAGTTCGTCTTTTGCCATTACATATGATGTTAGTGTTAGGTTTTTATGTAGAAGCCCTTTATCAGGCTGAAACACTTCCCTTTTATCCCTAACTTTCTGAGACTTTTTATCATTAATGGATGCTGACAGTTGTCAAATGCTTTTTCTGCATCTGCCTAGATGATAAGATGGTTTTCCTTTTTATTGCATTAATATGATGAATCACATTAATTTTATAATATTGGAGTTAATGTTTAGAATATTAAATCAATCTTGCTGGGATGAACCCCACTTGGTCATGATGTATTATCTTTTTTATATATTGTGTTTGTTTTGCTAATTTTTTTTAAGTTTATTTCTTTCTTTTGTCTGAGAAAGACAGACAGACAGAGAGAGAGAGAGGCTTTAGGAAGGTCCTCACCCTTGATCTCGCCCCTGTCTCGGCTGCCCCGCATAACAGGCACAGTTTATTCTTATGTCAGGACCAACTTGGTATAGGAACTCAGAACCCTTCCCAGTTGCATTACCTCTGTACCACTGCCTATTTTGCTAAAAATTTGGTAAGATTTTTTGCATGTCGATTATGGAGGGATATTTGTTTTTAGTTCTCTTTTATTGTAACACCTTTGTCTGGTTTTGGTACCAGGTGATGCTGAGTTTATTGACTGAATTGGGAAGCGTTCCATCCTCTTCAGTTTTCTGGATGAGTGTATAAAGAATCAATACCATTTCAACCTTAAATATTCTGGAGGATTGAAATATTCTGGAGGGAAAGTTTTAACTACAAATTGAATTTCTGTGACAGATAAAGGACTATCCATGTTATCTAATTCTTTTTGTGTGAGCTTTCTCAAGGAATTTGTCCATTTTATTTAAGTTGTTAAATTTATTGGCACAATATCCATAATAGTCTCATTACCCTTTTATTGTCTGTGAAGTCTGTAGTGACATCACTGGTGTCATTCCTATTATTTAAAAAATGATTTAGTAATTTATTTCTATGAGAGAGAAATAGAAGAAAGAGATACAAGAGATACAGACGGAGAATGAGAGAAAGGTATCATCCCTAATAGAGACCTGATACCACAGTCTACCGTGAGTCAGCCAGTCCAGATCATGGTCACATACCTGACTGGGATATTCAAGGAGGTCTCCAGATGGGAACTGGCAATCTTCCTTTGTGTTCTGCCTCACAGAGTGTTGCATTTTACCGTTGCTTCTCCTTCCAGCCCTTCACTCCCAGTATTCTAATTTGTATTTTCTCTCTCTCTTTTAATGATCAGTCTGACTACAAGATTATTTGTTTTATTGATCTCAAAGAACCAGCTCATGTTTTTATTGATTTTTCTCTGATTTCTGTTTCATTGACCTCTGCTCTGATCTTTTATTATTTCTATTGTTCTGTTTATTTTGGGTTTAATTGACACTTCTCTTTCCAGTTTCATAAGGTAGAAGCTTTGTCCATTGGTTTGGGACTTTCTTCTTTTCTCATATAAGCATTTGGTATGATAAAATTTCTTATAGTCTTGAAGTAGCAATTCTGCAAAAAAAATTCACCTTTCAAGTTTTAATGCCTTTCTTTTGCTATTTTCCACTTATTTTTCCAAATTACAATCTGGATGTATTTAAAAAATACCTCAGTCTTTTTTTTTTTTTTCCGAGAGTGAGAAGCAGAAGCAAAGAGATAAGTACTGAGACAGTTATGTAAGACCACTTTTTAGAGGATAAATTTAGCTTATAAGAAAGGCTATTCTTTCAGAGAAAATGCCATGAGTTGCTGGATTCGCATGAAATATGCATTTAAGTAGATTTATATTGGAAATAGTTCAAATGGCCACAGTACAACTAGAAATTGCAACTGAGCTCAAGTACTCAAGCTTACGTTTGTTTATTGCTTTGTAGTTTTCCAATTTATCCCATTTGTTCTGTCCTTGGGAAATACATAGGGTAGCTGTATTATTGGCTACCTATTATTTTAGTTTTGAAAAGAATATAGTAGCTTAAAGACATTAGTGATTTGTCCAAGTTCACATAGCTTCTCAGTGATAGAGCTGGAACTCGGGTTCTTGGGGTCCAAACCTTATTTTTCTTTATTTCTTTATTTATTTGCTCTATCCTAGTGCTTCTCCAAACAAGGTCTCCTATCAACAGCATAAGTGTCACCTGGGAACTTATTTGAGGCTCACATTCTTCCTCCCCTAAGTCCTGCTGCATCCGCGCACTTGGCGAGTAGTCTGTGGTTTAGACATCTTCCCAGCCCTGTGTGATTCTGCTGCACACTCAAATTTGAGAACTCTTCCACACCTTGGTTCTTAGTCATGACAGAAAAGGGAGGTCACATGGATACTGTGCCCTGCCAGCCAGAGTGGTGGGATTGTCAAAGCTTCCCAGGTGATTCTAACATGCAGCCAGGGCTAACCACTGATCTTCACCACGGTGCTACTGTGAATGTGACTCAAATCATTTCTGGATTCATGTCATTGTGTTCCAACAAGTGTCTTTCTCTCCAGGTCATAACAATCAATGCCTGCTATCGAAGTGATGAACTGAATTCAAAGCGAGGAGCACAAAGCATCTTGGAAGAAGAAAAGGGTAGCAAGAACTGGCTTACGGTGTCCAGTTTTAGTCAGATAAGTATGTAACAGTCTGAAGTCTTGGATCCAAAAGGCTCTGGTAGAGCACTCCCAGGGTATGATCTTTAGATCATCGGTGGTCCTTGCTGTTCTTTCTAGTGGGATGAAAAGGAAAGAGGAGGTAGCAACACTCTCTTAGGAAAATAACTCTTTTCTGTTCTTAGTTGTGTTTTGTTTTGTTTCAGAGATTTTTCTATAGAGCATGTGTACTTCCTGGAGAGACAGAGAGACTGAAAGTGAGAAATCACTCCTCTAGGTGGGATGGCCACGCTGCAAACCCTTCTCCTTTTGGGATTTTGGGTATGCATGCACATGTGTCCAGTGTCAGTTCTAAGCTGCAGGGTCCAGGACTTGAATCGTGTGGGAGTCCAGCAACATAACTGCTATGCCATCTGCTGGTCCTGTCTGTTCTTACTTTTCATGGAAAAGAAAAATATTTCATCCTTTCAAAGAAATAGACATTAGAATTCAGAAAAGAAAAATTAAGTGTCAAAAGTCTTTTATATTCAAAGCTGGTGACTTAATTCTAAGTGTTTTCCCCAGAGAGTGTTCATTTGTCTTGTTTCTGAGGATGGGGGTTCTCTAATTTATATTTCTTAAGTTTCATGTGATATTACTATGGACCCTGAGCAGAATTCGGTGGGTCGAGTTGTGGCTAGCTACTTACTGCTGTGCACATAGTGTGTTCACCCCTTGGGCAAGTGTCCCGTAAGCTGAGTATGCTGTTTGTCAAGGAGGGAGACAGAGGCAGGCATGGATGTGAGATAACCCTGGGCAGCTAAGAAGAGGGCAGATCATGACGGAAGGAGAGAACGATCTCTGCTCTTTGAACTTCTTGCATTAGATAAGAGCCCTTTAACAGCTTTTGAACAGAAAGGATTATGTAGTTAAAGAGTCATAAGGACTTTAAATTATTTAGAACACTATGGGTAAGGTAAAAACAGACATTATAGGAAACCAGCTGTTAGCGTAATGGCTATGTCGCTGAACGCCCATGTAGTCGACCATGGTCCGAGTCCTGGACCCAGTGGTTTAAACTCACGCCGGGTGCGTGTGCATGCGTGCCCAAGATCCCAAGAGGAGAATGGAGGAAAAGGGATTGCGGTGTGGCCATCCCCCTGGGGGTGATTACTCACTTTCTATCTCTCTCTGTTTCCCTCTCTTTCGCACGTGCCCTATAGCGAAAACCTCTAAAAAACAAAAACAAAAACAGACATTATACTGAAATGTATGCTGTCATGCTTCTTGAAAATCCTGCTTGCTCTTATGGTCAGTGATTCTCAAGGGGTGATTTTGCTCATCCTCTGAGCCCACCTTTTAACCCAGCAGACATTTGTCAGTGTCCGGAGACATTTTTGCTTGTCACAACTAAGAGAGTTAGTGTTCTTGGCACTGAATAAGTAGAGGCTTGGATGCCACTAACATTCTATAATGTGTGGGGCAGCCTTCTATGACAAGTAATTATCCAGCCAAATTATCAATCCTGAGTGAGATATCCTGATTTATGTTAAAGAAAAATACTCAACTGTCTGTTAAATCACTGACAATCAACTTGACTCAGCTTAAACAGACATTAGAAATTAAGTTATTCAGAATTCCCCTCATCATTTATAAATATGGTTCCAGAGCTTAATTTTTTTGCCTTAAATCATACAGTGCCCTGGGGCACATAAATTTCAATAAATCAAATCCCACTTACAGACCTGATTCTAGAGCCAAACATAAATACATTTATCTTATTTATAAATGCCATGAGTCTTTATTATGTAACATTTATAGTTTACCAATTTACCCTACGCGTTCCATCCTGGGAAGTACGTAGGGCAGCCATATTATTGGCTACAGGTATTTCAGTGATGGGGCTCAGAGACATGAAGGGATTTGCACATGGCTTCTCACTGGCAGAGACAGAATCCCAACACAAGTTCTTTGGATGCAAGCAGATAGCGATCCATAGTACTACGTATACATTTTTAATAAATATGTGTAGGTATCACCCATGTTAGATATATGTTATATATTATTCTTACTTAAGTTACTTAGACTCTTCCCAGTGAATTTCAAACAAGGCAAGATGCATGTGACAGGAGGGTTCTGGGTAAGAAACTTATTAAGCCAGACAATCAGAATTACAGATAAGTCTAGGGAAATAGACTGACCAAAGTCCAGTTAATCAGAGTGTGAACGAAGCCTGGTGTCTTCCTTGAATCACATCTGAGTTGAGATGCTTATTTTTCAAACATGTGCAAATTAAGAATTACCTGAAAAGGGCTAACGAGGTGGCCTGGAGATTAAGTGACTAAATTCCACATGGTCCACAGCACAATTCAAGTTCTGGACCCAGTGGAAAACATGCCAGGCATGTGCGTGTGCCCCAAATCCTGAGAGGAGAATAGAATGAAGGAGAAATTATGGATTGGTCATCCTTCCTGGGAGCAGTGATTTCTCACTTTCGCTTTCTCCCTGGTGAGTACACATGCCCTATGGCAGATTAAAAACAAAAAGGAATTATTTGAAAAAAAAAACTAAACAAATGAAAGTTTGAAGGTAGGTCCTATCAGGTATCTGTTTAAACACAAAATAAAAAGTTCTGAGAAAGTAAACTATGAAAGGAAAACGTATATATTTAGCTTTTCTTATGTTTAATTTTAATTATTATACTAAACTATTATTAAAAACATTTATCATAATTTTGTGATATTCTAATATTACAACAATATCATATATAAAATTTTATGATTTTTTTCAATAGTTTTTTTTTTTTTTTTTTTGAGAGAGTTTTCCTATAGGATGTGTGTGCTTGCTGGAGAGACAGAAGGAGACAGAGAAATAGAAAGTGAGAAATCACCCCCCAGGGAAGATGGCCATTCCACAATCCCTTCTCCTCCATTCTACTCTCAGGATTTGGGGCATGCATGTACACATGCCCGGCATGAGTTTCAAGTTGCCACGTCTGGGACTTGAACTGTTATCAGCCATTTGGGAGTCTAGCAACATAACCATTATGCCATCTGCTGGTCCCAATAGTTTATTTTCTTTTAATACTTGTTTACTTATTTTCTCCAGTGCAAAATCATTACAGAAAAAAAAAAAAACTGTGTCCCCTACCTTTAATTAGGATTCTTAATAAACATTGTTTTCAGAATTAATCCATACAAGTATTAGTTATTATACACCTATTTTATACTGTAAGTATGTAGATACTAGGTATAAAAGACAATATGATACTCACCTTTTTAAGAGAAGGCTAATATTAGACATGTTTGATAGCATTGTTTTCTTTCTTTTCTTTTTCTGTCTTTTCTTTTTCTCTTTCTTTTTCTTTTTTTTTAAGGTTTTTGCTGTAAGACATGTGCCCATGATGGAGAAAAAGATACAGAGTGAAAAAGTGAGAGGGAAAGTGGGAAATCACCTCCTGGGAAAATGGTCATGTTCCAATCCCTTCTCATTCCATTCTTTTCTCGGGATTTTGAGCATGCATATACACTCACCTGGCTTGATTTCCAAACTGTTGGGTCTGGGCCTGGAACTGCTCTTAGTCCTGTGGGAATCCACTTCCCTAACTACTCTGACACATGTTGGCCCCCTTTCTATCTTTTTTATTGTTGTTTTCAAGTAGCCAAATGATATGTTTGATGTGTCACTAAGGAAGGATTCCTAACAATTTGGAACTACATTGCACATTTTCACATAGTTTAAACAAAGAATGGATTATAGGGTGTAGGAGAAGGTGAATGTAAAAAAATTACTAAAATGGTTTTATATAAGGAACACAGATTATTTAATTTTTGATTTAGAGAAGTGTAGTTGTTATAAGTGTAAAAGTAATGATAGAAGGATACAAATAGTATATATAGCTTTCAATAACTTGGAAAAGAGAAATGAGGTGAAACTTGCTAAAAAAGAGAAACTATATCCTCATTTAAATGACGGTATTATCTTTAGAGTTTTCAATTCGAGAACTGTTTTTGAATATAACACATTTCTATGTATTTTCTGCCTTTCTTCTTCTTCTTCTTTTTTTTTTTAATAAGGTCTAGAACCATATATATATCAGAAAGTGAAAACTAAAGAGATTGAGCAACATGCCATGCAAGTCAGTGACTACCTCAAGCAGCCTCAAGAGGTAAAGATATTTGGTAGATTAAAAAAATTGCCATTTAAGAAATTTTAACTTTCTTTTGACAAATAATAATTATATATATTTATAGTAGGCAGTGTGATACTTTGATATATGTATATCTTGTGGAATGATCAAATAAAGCTAATTAGTATATACATCACTGCAAAAATTTATCACTTCTTTGTGGTGAGAAAATTTTAAATCCTGATAGTTTTTTTTTTTTAACACTGTATTGACTGTGTTCAATTTACCTTTGTGTCTCTTAATTGACTTCTTTTTTTATCATTGTTAAACTTCGTTTTTATTTTGTTTTGGATTTTGTTTTTTAGTTTTTGCTATATGATTTGTGTACTCACCAGAGAGATACAGAGAGAGAGAGATGTTGTTCTTTTTTATGTAGTTTACCTGTTCACCCAATAATTTATCCTGAGTATGTTTAGAATTAGGAAGAAAGAATTCTGGAATTTTGAAACCTTACCTGTTTTCAAATATATAAAAGTCGTTAAGGGAAAGAAAAGTAAACTATCTTCAATACACTTTTAAAAGGTAGATCTAAAATCAACCTATAGAAGCTACTGGAAAACAGATTTCAGCCCAATCTGAGGAGAAATTTTTAGCCATTGGAGATTTCAGAGAATGGAACAGTTTATTTCTGAAAGCAGTGAGTTTCCTTGCTAGTGTGGTTGGTCACATAAAGTCTGAACAAATGTCTTTGTAGCCCTGATGTAGGGGACACAAACATTACAGTGTAAAGAACCCTCAGTGTTTCTCCAGTGCTGAGACTCTCTGATTTGTAGTCTGTTTTTCTTGCTATTTATAAATATATGCCTTGCTTTAGTGCCATCTGCCATGTGACCTAGCTAGAGTAACCCAAGAAACATAATTTTAGGTTTGATTTGAATATAGTCTGTTTAACCTTGAGAACTTATAAGCATCACCTGTATCAACATAACCTCAGATGTTCTTGTAAACATAGAATCTGAGAAAGATTTTGAAAGTTAAAATGTCAGATTACTTGATGGGAATTAGAGGAAGGGACCTGTGTTCACACCTTGGCTCTACCACTTCATCCATTTCAAAACGTTGTACATTAATTAACCTATGAGCATCATCAGCCATATCTCTCAAATGAGTCAAATAACATGCTTATGACATAATTGATAGCATATGAGAAAAATGACATTTGTGAAAATGCCTGGAGTAATACCAGAAGTGAACTAGTTCTCCAAAAATATTCATTGAATTTAAATAGGAAGTATAATGAGGTTAATTCAGGGTAATGTTATTTATGTAGTAGTCATCAGTGCTAGCCAGTGGAATGGTGGTTAAGACGGATCTCACACGGCCGACAACATGGTTTGAGTTCTGGACCCAGTGGCTTGAAACACATATCAGGAGCGTGTGTGTGTGCATGCTCAAAATCTCTAGAGAAGAATGGAGGAGAAAGGATTGTGGCATGGCCATCTTTTCTGTGGGACACTTTCTCAGTTTCCCCCTCTTTTTCCCTGTCTCTCTCTGGCGAGTACATACACTCTATAGCAAATTAAGAAAAAGAAAATAATCATCATCACCTGGAGCGATAATCTACTGATGATAGGACATAGTAATGTCACAATCAATATTGCCTGTCAGCATGGACCTTTATTCCATTTTTCATATTTTTGACTGATTTTGTATGTTCGGTCCTATTTCTGTAAAATCTTTTACATATTACATTTTCCTCTTTGATGTCTCCATAAAAGTAATTTTATCCTGTTAAAGTCCATCAATACATCAACTCACTCTGGTATTGTACTAATATATGCAATCTTTCCTGCTTGGGTTTAGTAAGTTTATTAAAAGAGAAATATTGAGCTAGAAGAAGGAAAAAGAAATATCGTCCAAGGAGTGTATTTTGTAGACGTGTTACTGGAAGCTAGGGCTTGGGACTACGTTGTGTGCACATGTAACAGCCTTTCCCTTCTGCTCAGGATATGAGTGAATATGCTTTGTGGAATTCACGGAACACTAACCTGAAGAGAAATTCTCTGTGAGTATTTATAACTATTTCTCATCAAAAATCTTTGATTTCTATTTCTTTAACTTGATTAGAAAGAAAGGGTTAATTTGATCAGAAAAGGAGATTTTAAAAATGCATCTAATGATTATGGTCTCATTCTTTGTTAGCAAGAATGAGAATAATTTATTCTCCAAGTTTTCCTGTTTCTGGCAAAAAGGTCTTACCTGAGTGCCTTTTGAGAATCTAATGATGGGGTCCGCAAGCAGCGTGGTGGCTAGGGTGCTGGATTCCCATATGGCCGACTGTGGTTTGAGTCCTGGACCTAGTGGCTTGCTTTCTCACTTTCCCTCTCTCTCTCTCGCTGTGTCCTTCTCTGGGCAAGTTAAAATAAATAAATAATTAAATAAATAAAGTTAAATAAAATAATTCTTTACAAAAGGAATATAATGAAAGATACTCCCACTGCAAAGTAAACAATTGTCTTTTCAGTCCCCTAAACCCACAAATGGAATAATGATTATCATATCTTTTAATATATTGGGTTGCTAGAAAAATCATGATGCATTTTTGCATAGAAAAACATAGAAAAATGTGTCCTGACTTTTCCAATAACCCATTAGATAAGATTGTGAAATGGCATTAGAGAAGTGGAAATAAATGGGGATTTTTAAAAAAAAAAAAAAAAAAAAAAAGACTCAGGCTGAAGACTTGATGATGTTTATTCTTTAGTTTTAAAAATAAACATTTTCTAGTATTTTCCTTTTAGTTTATGAAGTTGACCTTTTTGAAATTTTGGTTTCCAGAAACAATTTAATTGTCAAAACAGTAACTCTGGGAAGCATTGAGACAGGGAGGAAGAGATAAAATGAAGAGAAAGAGCATTTAAAAACTCATGTGGCTATAGACTTGAGTATCCTCCTGGAATTTTATTTATGCAAAGAAAATAAAATTAGAAAACTTAGCAAGCAAAATTATTATATTTGTTTCTAGTGCTTTCTGGACTTTCCTAGGTACAGCGTCAAATTTACTGTCCATACAACTGTAAAAAATTAATTAAGACCATCTACTCTAGAGAAAGACCAATTGATACCAAGCAGGTAGAAGGTGACTTTCAGTTTGCAGTTAGCTGTCTTCAAGATGGCCTTCCTCTGGAGCTCCCATCATGGTCTCTGTGCAGGCCTGCCTCCAGACTTAAAGGGCACATGACTTTCTTTTCTCCCAAAAGTTCAGTAGTTTGTGCTCATGCAGAGTAGTGGGTTATTGCAGCATGAAATTAAACAATAATTGTAATTGTACTTTCTTCCCTAAGGACTGTAAATACTGGAGATATTCTTTGAATGCATTTATTTAGACTTGCCCATGGCCACTTGTGCACTTGAGCAGGGCAAGTAACAATTTAAAGAGAGCTAATTTCAGCCTGTGAACATTTAGAGGCTACGTGGGCTAATGAAACTGATTTGTAGGCTTGTCCAGGGACATTCAGAGACTCGTTTGTAGGCATCTGCTTTGGATAGTTCAGGAACCCTTTAGTTTAATTGATCCAGAACAACACAAACACAGTTAAATCTTATATATGTTATGTGATTATGTAGCTAATTAAAAAAAGAAAGAAAACTAGACTACTGCTTTTCAATTAGCTTAGGGCATACACGGTAAATGACCTCCATGCATATCTGTTGCTTATTTTTCTGTTAAAATAACTATAGTACTGTCAGCTTCACTATTGTTAAAGATAGGGATCAGATGGGACTGATATGTACTGTGTGCTGTTGCTCTTTCACATACTTTTTCCCTTCCTTTGATCATTGAAAGATTTAAAGCAACATTATCTAAACAACTTAATGTTTTCCAACAGGTCGAGAAGTTCAAGTGGAGTTGACAGTAAGTTTTATTTCTAAATGTTTTATTTTTATTTTTTCCATCTTTTCCGAAGTGAGTTCATTGTCCTGCTGAGATTTTTATAGTTATAGTTTTTATCTACTATGGAAAGTAGGAAGTTCAGTAAAAAAGTAGAAAGTTTGGGTCAGCAGGTGGTATGGTGATTAAGGCGATAGATTCCCACATGGTCTACCATGGTTGGAGTCCTAGAACCAGAGGCTTGAAAATCATGGCAGGCATATGAGCGTGTGTGCCCAGGATCCTGAATGGAGAATGGAGGAGAAAGGATTACATGTGGCCCTTACCCCTTAGGGGTGATTTCTCACTTTCCCTTTCTTTCTGTCTCTCTCCAGCAAGTTCATATGTGCTATGGCAAAACCCTTTAAAAAAAAATAAAAGGGAGAAAGTTCAATGTCTTTCTCCAAACAAGTCAGGACTGATGTCTCATTTAAAATTCTGAGTTATCCGTTTTATTTTTGTCATTATTTGTTTGTTTGAAGTTTATGTATTTCTTCTATGAGTGAGACAGACAGAAAAAGAGAGAGACCCAGAGAGCTAGCATTCCCTATTGGCTCTTGACATTGGGATTCACCCCGTCTCTAGCCGGCCCCCAATCGTGGGCACACATGTGCCTGATGTGTTCAGGAAAGTCTCCGTATTTGAACTAGGAGCCTTCTCTTATGGGATTGCTTCACGAGGGTCACATTTTACTGCTGAGCCCCTGACTGGACCCAAGAATCTGTTTTTGACTATGATGTTCTGGTGTATTCTGTGATGGAAATTTAACCATGAGTTCATTTGACTCTTAAACAACTCTTACCATTTTATATGTTAACTGTCACTTTTTCACATATTGCTCAGTAAGAATCATTCACGAGAGTGTTTGTGGATGTCTTTTCATGTATAGTTTTAGTAGGACTCTTTGCCCCGAATGGGGCCGTTATGTAGCTGGAGACTTCATGTTTTGATTTCTGCTTTTTTAGTTTTTAGAATAGTGTCTGACACATTGTAGGTGGTCGTAAATGTGGTTGAATTTATATGAACAAAGTCTCACAGCTTTGTAAGTGGGGAAATCAGGATTGAGACTCAGCTTTGTCAAACTCAGATGTACATTGTCTTTTAAGTATTTCCCTGTTTCTCAATGAAGGTCTTACCTTCCATGTGGAATTATATGTTCCATAAGCCTTTGAATATACGTCTGTTATATTACTTAGCAAATTGTATTGTGATTATAGTTGCATGGCTTTCTCTCCAAGTGTATTATATTGACTTTTCTCTAGGGTGAGAACCACCTCTTAAATCTGTCATATCTAACTTGGCCCATAGTAAGAGCTGCATACTTTTACTTTTTTGATTGCTGAATGAATTCCATAATGAAGAGTCTTTTCTGCTGACCTCACTTGTTACAAAGCACCCCCAATGGAAGTGATGCTTGTTCCTTTATTCAGCAATAAGAAGCCAGAGGGATCTGTGAAATTGGGCTCATTATGCTGCTTACTCGACTAGGTATAAGGCAGTTGCCACCATGAGACTAAAGTTCTCAACTTTAATTTTGATTTTATGAAATGGCAAAACTGTTACAAAGGATTTCTCTAGAGTCTTGTAATTTAGGACTTGTGGAGAGAGAAGAGAATGAGTTAAACTGGGAGGTGTTCCCAACACATAGTCCTGTGTAACCAAACAAACCCCTTGGTGCCATTTTATTCACCCCTCCTTTCTCTCTGGTATATACTTCTGGATGTGTTTTTATCATTTTGTTGCTATTTTAGGTCAGTGAAGTAGTTTGCTAATAACTTAGTATTAATAATGTCTTTCCACGGGTACTGTGTCTTGGTAGGGAGCTCAGAGAATCATGCTTCTGAGATGTCATGAAGTGTGATGGGCAGCTGAGTGCCTTCTGCAACCCAGAGGTGTAATTGGTTCAGAGGAAATACATCTTTGAGGCTAATATTACCTGTCTTTCTTCAATTCCCTACATAAATATGTTTGGAGATATTACACTGATGATTGGAAGCTGTCAGGATACCAGCACAATCATGTGGTTAAAGGATATTAGCCAAGCTTTTCCGAATACTGAGAAGCCATTCTGATTAACCTGTTCAGTAATAACTTTGAAGGCAATATATTCATAAGCATGTATTTGTCTTTGGCCAAGTAATTAAAATGCCAATCTTCTCTATAATTTCAGAGATCTCCGCCTCCTTAAAAAGCCCTCAAGAGGCTCACCATCATTATTCAGGTAGGATGCATATGCACATGGACACGTCAGTTGAGCTAACTGTCTGTGATTCTGCATTCGTAAACAGAGATGTTGATGAATTCCGTATTCCAGACATGGCTTCCCATGTGAAAAGTTGTTCACTGTGATGAGAACCCTGATTCCTTACCTTGCCATTGACATAGGTAAACAAATTATTAGAATTTAAGGGAATTTGGATTAAAAAAATTTATATTGGCAAATTCCAAATTTTGAAGGAGAGGGCCTTGAGATTTAAAATTTTCTACCAGCTCCAAGCCAGCTCTAAGCAGGATATCTCAATGTTTTGACTGGGAAAAAGGCAGACCTGAAAGTAGTGCTTTGAGGAAAGGTTTCTGTACCCTCTCTGCACCCTCAGTGAACATAACCACCATGTGAATGCCAACCTCACAAAGTTCAATAAAGATGCCTTACGAAGATGTTATTAAACAAGGATGTCAAGGGTCTTGACTCTCTCAAGCAACATCACTTCACAGTGCTTCAGTTGTCCCTCTTTCAGAGTGGGGATAATTGTACTCGCCCTTCCTGAGGAACGGTCTGTTAAAGGCCTTAGTTGAGAATTAAGAGGAAAACTCATTGAAATGTAGAGCAATATAAAAACCAGCTGGGTTTGGGCCATTGGGTGGTTGCTTAGGGCATTGCACTCAGTCTTGGGTAAGATCGTACATGGACAAGCTTTTTACACAACAAAAATTCTGTACATGAGTAAGAGCTTATTGGTATTATAATTACCGATATTATTATTATATCAAGGTCATTTTTTCAGGGTGCAATAGTAGACTTCCTTATCCTGAATTCCTCTCCGTAGTGAATAGTATTTCAGCGGATCCTAGACTCTTCATTCCAGGCTCTTATAGCTGGGTCTTTCAGCTCAACAGTAATCTATTATTTTGACTCCAGCCATCAACTGAAGTAAGTCTGTGGTAGGGAATACTCTAACTCACATTGCCTCTGATCTGTTAGGATATGGATTTTAATAGGAAAATGCAGATCACGTCCTTTTCATTAAAATTAGTCTGCAGTTCTCTCCAAGATAACATGTTGAACTATGCAAAGTCAACAGTAGATGTCCCCACAGTCCACTGTGCACTGGATTTTCTTTGGAAAAGAAAAACCAGAGAATAAAGACCATAGAGTAAAATGTCATTTAACAGAAAGTTCCACATATGTATGTGTTAGTATATGATTTGGTATTCAGGGAGTGGAGGTGATAGCCCTACCTCAGGCCGTGTTATAGAATCTCATATAAAATATTGTAAAGACTGGATTATCTTTCTTGTTTAGGCATAGTTTATTTTTACAACTGTATTATAAATATTATTTCTGATCATAGCAAATGTGAGGAGTATTGCAATGAAATCTTTTAGTATTAATATGAATATACTGATGTGGAAAGACTTTCTGTAAATTCAGTTCACTGATGCATACTTAAAATAGTAAATCTGTTTTTGTTTACAGCCATTGAAAGGAATAATTTAATGAGGCTTTCTCAGACCATACCATTTACACCAATCCAACTGTTTGGTGAGTGGAATTTCTACCTTCTCAAGGCTATGCCAAGACAGAGGCATAACATCTGAATAAATCTAAGGGGGAAACACATTGCATCATTTTAGTTGAGAATTTTTTTTGTAAATAATTGTAACACAGGGAGATTTATTTCCTAAACTGGACACTCATGTTAACGGTTAGTATTTAGGATCAAAATCTAGTACTATGGAGATGAGGTCTGTAATGAGCAGCAGTTGGGAAGAAAGCAATGATGTTGCACCTGGCATTCACTGACTCAGGGCTGGAAGTAAGTAGGAAAGAAAAGAACAAACCAACCATATATAATAACCTCAGAAGAAAGCGATAAATGTCAATATGGTGAAAACCAACAGGCATCTGAAGAGAAATGCTTTGTATATTGGTTTTTATTTGTTTGTTTTGTTGCGTGTACACTAATTGCTCTTATCTCAGACTGCAAATATCATTTTTAAGAGCTGGAGGAGTAAAGGGAAATAAGCCTGTATTAGCCAAGGTTACCAGAGTTTCTCTTTTAGAAGGATAAAGCATAAGCCAATTGCCAGAATAACAAGGGTCCCCACACTGACCTTGATGTTCATTCTCCTTACAGTGTTCATGTGGAGACAGACTAGGTTGGTTTCAGATTATTAATGCAGATGCCCTTCCCTTCACTTGGCTCCCTGGCTAGTTTTGCAGATCAGTAATTCTGCTCTAAATCTTCCAGGGATTTAAAACTCCAAAAACATCTTCGGCACCAAGAATAAATATTTGAAAATAGTTACCAAGCGTTACCTAGATATGTTTATAGGTAAGAAATCAGATGAAAGAGTGGGGGAATAGGTTCCTTTCTTGGTAAACCAGTACAGTGTTCACAAACAAAGCAAAAATATTTCAGGCAAAGCTATAAGGAGAAAATGAAACATAGTCTTGACAGAAGCTTTGTATAGAGAATGCTACTTTAGTTGTGAAGTATTAAACACCCTATTGGTGGTGTCTAGGCTCAGTAAGAATTCTTTCTGTTCCATATCCTAAAAGTAGAAGCTGTGAGGCAGTTATGTAGCATTTTGTGTCTAAAATCCTTCAGTTGGGTTGAATTTGTGTCAGAGTTTCTGGTTCACTTTAGCTCTGAGGGCATACTTATTCTTTACAACAACCTAATGAAATCAACATTATTTCCTCTCCATTTTACTGGTCAGAAAATCAAGTCTTTCGGTAAATCTGTCCAAAGACACAAAGAAGAAGTGAAAGGCTCTGGGATGTCCTTGGAACTTTCTGACTCCAACTAGGTTAAATCATGTATTCTCAAACGAGTAATGTTGCTCCCCCTACAAGGGAGCAGATGCTCCCCTTTTTATGTATAAAGTGCAGACATACATACAGTACATAAGTAGACAGCATATATTTGATATTGGTATGTTATGGGAAGGACAATTTAAAAAGGTCTAATAAAGCTTCTTAGGGGGATGATAACAACACAAGATTAAACTCTCTTTTTAGAATTTCTTGTCTCTGACAAATGAAGCATTTCCTTTCTACTTTGATTTTGTGTTTGTCCAGTTATAGTCTACAGTAAGAACAACTCAGTTTTTATATGTCATCTGCACTTCATCCTGTCTTCCCCTCCCCACTTACTAGACAAATAATAACATAGAAAAATGGTCAGATTCATGTTTTTATTCTTCTCTACTTTTTGCTGATCTCACTTTTCTATGGTCATTTGGGCAACTGAACTGATTCAGAGTTGATAGTTAAGTTACCATCCATGTCACAGACCTGATGAGCTCAATGAACTTCTCACAATCACTTCTTTTTGCAGCGGGAGAAACAGTAACTGTCTATAGGCTAGAGGAGAGCTCCCCCTTGAACCCTGATAAAAACATGTCCTCTTTGAGAGCTGCGATGATCCAGGTGTTGTCCCAAGAGGAGCTGGATGGGGGCCTCCGCAAAGCCATGAGAGTTATCTGCACTTGGTCTGAAGATGATGTTCTCAAGCCAGGACAGGTTTTCATTGTGAAGTCCTTTCTTCCTGAGGTTGTGCAGACGTGGCATAAGATCTTTCAGGAGAGTACTGTGCTTCATCTTTGCCTCAGGGTAAGTCTGAAACTCAGAGACCCAGAGCCCAGATGGACAGAATCAAAGAAAAGAGATTTGGCTACATTTTTATCTAAAGCCATTATCTTCAACTGAAATGGGAGAATATTTGGAGGTGGTGATTTTTGTTATGTAGGGCTATTGCTTTGGGGACAAGGAATGGTAGGAGCTGAATAAGGCTAAAAAAAAAATCACATGTGGGCAGCCTCCTGTAATTCTCTGATCATTAATCATAGGTGTGTGATAGTAAATCAGAATTTTTATTTTTGCTCCCTATTTTGTAGGAAATACAACAACAAAGAGCTGCACAAAAACTGATTTATACCTTCAACCAAGTGAAACCACAGACCATTCCTTACACACCACGGTAAGGAATCCTTGGCCTTCATTTTAAGTATGGATTTCTATCAACTTCTTCTTAGTCCGTTGGTCAGGAAGAATATCAGACCCATCAGATAGTTTCCCATAACCTTAATTTTATGTTCTTCCTTCCATAGTTTTGGAGACTCATGAAAAGAGAATTAGACATCCCAGGGATACCTTAAGTATCATTGAACTTACATGACTAGACAAAGAATTTCAGAAGAGGCCATGACTAACACTTCAATTATGTGAAACAGGCAGATACTGGGTGTAGCTGCTAATGTCCAGGAGCATTATGATAGAAAAACATTTCTATGTTAATCATATTTCTTTTCCCAACATCTTATAGAAATTAGGAACTTCGTAAAAATTAACTCTTGTTCCTTTCACCTGAGTGTGTTCACACACTTACATTCATTTATCAGGACAGATCATAATTTGGTGCCGAAGACTTACAGTAAAGCTTTATTTTTTCATTTACGAGGAACTTTATAGAGAACACCAGAAAAACTGGGTCCAGTACTCATAAAAGAGTTGGAAAGCTTTCTCAAAGAGAAGGGAGGTGGGTAAGCATGATGGGAAAAAAGGGCTTCCCAATCTTTAAATTTCATCCCTTCATAGCAAAGACAAGGACATGTGTATTAAGGCTGTATCAGACAAAAGTTATGTAATCTCCCCTGCTGCCAACTGTTCAGTACGCTAAGTTTCACTTTTGCTGTCTTTTTCCCTCACAGGTTTCTGGAAGTTTTCTTAATATACTGCCATTCAGCCAATCAATGGTTGACCATTGAGAAGTATATGACAGGGGAGTTCCGGAAGTACAATAACAACAATGGTGATGAAATCATCCCCAGCAACACCCTGGAGGAGTTAATGTTGGCTTTCTCTCACTGGACTTATGAGTATACTCGGGGAGAGCTGCTGGTTTTAGATTTACAAGGTAAATCTAATGATGCAGGACTTCGTATAATAAGCATGAAGCAAAATTCAAAGAAATCTTGTAAGAACCAGACTGGGCAATGTACAGAGTTGCTCTGTTTCGCTTGAAAGAAGGAGACATTTATTTCAGAGACATTGTAGTGATGATCATGTGTACCTACTATGTTTTCTGCTACATAGAGAAAAGTGTAGGTGGATGATTAGTTACTTAGTATTTAAAGACATCTAACATTTTTTACTAAATAAGGAATGATTTTTATATTAAATTTTCTAGTTTTATTTCTTTACCTTGGTTTATGTTCACAAAAATGTAGCCATGCATTTATACACATAAAATTTAAATTCTAGGCATTTTTCATGATTTTGAGCTCATTGCTTTAGCAATTTATAATTTAGCTTGCTCTCTTTACTGTGTCCCTTGATATGACAGTTCATGAAAGTATACACTCAGACTGAGCAAGGCTTCGCAGTGCACTCTTATTTAATGGAAACCTTTGATCAGCACATCTCCCCACTATCAACACCTCACATATGACTTATAATCTGGAAGCACAAAACAGAGTATCTCCAGCAGGCTTTCCTTGCAGGGACAGAACAAAATATGTATTAAGGTCAAAGTTTAGTCCTTGGGCTCACTGACTGAGGCTTTGGTTTTAAATAAGGGATTTATCCCAGGAACTTTCATAGAAGTTATCTCATTTAATCCCAGAAGCAGCACCTCAAGGTAGATATTATGGGGAATTTAGGCCCAGAAAGTTTAAATAACTTGCCCAAGGTTGCACAGCTACTTAGGGGAGAGCTACAATGCAGATTTAAACTGGCTTGACCATCCACGTTCTTTTCACTGCACCGTCTTTTATTTCTTTCAGAGTTGCATACCTAGAGTACATAACAATTATATGGTTCCTTTAAACAATATGGTCTCTTTTCTTATCCTTTATGCCCTTCCTAGCTCTCCAGTTCTTGGATTCTATACTGAAAACTAGGTTTAGAGGCTTGGGAAAGTTGAGATAAACAGACAGTCATTGGCCATGACAACAAATGTCCAGAATGCAAAGTCATTTGATTGAAATTTGTGTCATGTGCTCAAGGATGTATACACACTTTTTAAACTACATATAAATACTTTTGTTTGATATTTCTGCTGCTCAGAGAATTGAATTATATTCATAACCTTCAATGCAATATTTTAGGAAGCAATATAAACAAAGTTAAAACAATCAAGATGATTCAGCTTTTAAACCAGCAAATACTTGATCCATATAAACCCAGAGTGTTAATGCCTGAGGCATCTGTTTTTGTAGCTCAAGTTGGGAAGAGGTTGATTATTTTCATCTGTGCTTGACTGTGCTTTGAGCTTTGGGTGGAGTTGTTTAAAAAAACTGAAACAGAAACAAACAAACAGAAAAACAACCAAAGAAAAATGTTAAGGAATTAATGATGACTCTTCAGTGTGTTTTGTATTCCACTTGAATAGGTTTTTGTTTAATGATGTTTATGTTTGGGGATTTTTATGTCTCTTAGTAATCCAAAGTGACATTAAACAGAACAAAACTGCATCGATAGTCTTGGGGGAAAAAGGGAATTAACTTTATTCTTTTACTGGGCAATTATGTGAATTGTAGAAATAGGCCACTCCAAAGAAACTATGTCAACATTGACCTTCAAAGAAGGGAAGAGTGGACATCATAGAATGAGCCTGATGAAGTTTGAGATACTTATCACAGAATTTTGGCTCATTGGTTAGACCTGAGTTTATGGAAGAACATGAATCCTATAACAGTAATTGTAAGCAGTTGTGCTACTACAACTAGTTAACATTTATTAATTACTTTTTAAATGTGCCAGACACTTGGCTAAGACTTATATGCATTATCATATTTAATCCATACCAGCTTGGAAAGACAAAAATGGGGGAAATGTGGTGTATTTTTAAAAACCCCTAATGACTTTTGGCTTAGTTTTATACTACATTTACTTTATTTGTATTTCTAGTTTTGGAGAGATGATGTGCATCATTTGGTGGTGGGAGTGGAACTCGTGAGACCCAGTACTGCAGTAGGAGTAGTTCTGCAGTTGTAGCACTAGTTTAATTCCTGACTCCCCCATGGCTTACCTGCATGACCTGGAAATAACCACCTTGAGTCCCACTTCCCTCTTTTGTAAAAATGGGGAAGATAATATTATGCACCTTTAAGTCATAGGGTTGTTAAATGGCTGAAGTATGACAAGTTACTGAGTGTGCTAACAACACTAACTGTTATTATTATTTTTTTTCTGTATTTATCTCTGTGTAGCTCTTTAAAATGAAGGTTAATCTTCAGCTGTGGGGGGTCTACCCTCAGCTGTGTGGTCCTGCAGGGAGACACTAACTGCCCTCCCTTGAGTGAGACCTCATCAGTGTGCTGTGGCTACACACTGCTTTGAGAGAAAGAATGAGTGAGAAACGTTTGGACAGTTTATCCTTTTTTTCTCCTTTTTACTTTTTCCAAAGGAGTGGCAGTCATTAATCCAGAAGCTGACACACCAGCCAGGAAGCTGAACTCTAAAGAGAGGCTTAATCAATTTCCAATCACTTGTAATTATACTGATGTTTTCTGGTCTACTTCCACTTAAAAATCCTACATGTGAGGGCCTGACTCGTCATCATTGCATTTGAAATCTAACATTTAATTCTCAGAAATGGAAATTTTAAACAATTGTATTTCAAATTACAGTGTTTCATAGCTTTTTTTTTTCTTTTAGCTTTTTATATTTTTCAAAGAACTTTTGGAGATACTAACTTTTTATTCAACAAAGCAGTTTCTGAAATAAGTCAGCATTATCATTAATATCATCATTATCAATTCTGCTGCTATGTAGAAGGTAACTTCTTTCCACAGATAATAGAAGTTCACTAATGTATCCAAAGATACATTCAACTGGAATAAGAATGCAAATCTCTGAGTTTCTCTTACAATTTCCAATCACTTGTAATTATACTGATGTTTTCTGGTCTACTTCCACTTAAAAATCCTACATGTGAGGGCCTGACTCGTCATCATTGCATTTGAAATCTAACATTTAATTCTCAGAAATGGAAATTTTAAACAATTGTATTTCAAATTACAGTGTTTCATAGCTTTTTTTTTTTTTTCTTTTAGCTTTTTATATTTTTCAAAGAACTTTTGGAGATACTAACTTTTTATTCAACAAAGCAGTTTCTGAAATAAGTCAGCATTATCATTAATATCATCATTATCAATTCTGCTGCTATGTAGAAGGTAACTTCTTTCCACAGATAATAGAAGTTCACTAATGTATCCAAAGATACATTCAACTGGAATAAGAATGCAAATCTCTGAGTTTCTCTTAGTGACATGCTACATATTAACTGCCTATGGGCATTTACTCTGTCAAATCTGGTAAAGAAATATCATTTGCATTGTTCAGTGTTAAAATGTCTTATTTTTCATGTTTTTCAAAATCAAATAGCGAATTTGAGAGGGGCTCTGATGTTGAAGTTTGCCAATTGGGTGATTCCTGTGTCTCTGGAGGAGATGGGTGGTGTAGTGGTGGTGGTCAGGGTGGAACGGCACAGTTTGTGAATGCTGATGGTACTACTGGGATTCTGGACTACACTCTCTCTTTCTCTCTCTCTGTCTCTCTCTCTCTCTTTTTTTTTCCCCAGTGTATGCTATAGGGCTCACGTGCATGCCAGAAAGGGAGAAGAAAAGTGAGAAACCACCCCCTTAAGAATGTCCACACTTTAAACCCTTCTCCTCTAGTTTCTCCTTAGGAGTTTTAGGCAAGGATGCACATGCACCCATTGTTAAGTCCCTGGGTCTGGGACTTAACCATGCAGCCAGCCATGTGGTTTCCAGCATTTTAACTTCCATGCTGGCCCCTGGGATGTTCTCTATTTTGCACACATTGGCAGTACCTTTTGCCATTTGTAGGTCCCAAAGTATGTACTTAGTAGTTGAGATTTGAACTGTCAGATTGGGTTTAAGGGTATTTTTTAAAAAGAATTATTTATTTAATTTTATTAATTATTATTATTAAAAATTTACTGTGGGGCATGTGCCATCACCAGAGAGGGGGAAAGTGAGAAAGCCAAGCCACTAGGTCTGGTACACAAACCATGTTCAACCACGTGAGAGTCCAGCACCTTAACCACCACACCACCTGCTGGTGCCATAAACATGTATGGATATTCTTTACCCTCATTCTTTTTTCTTTTTTTTTTTTTGGAGAGGTTTTTGCTATAGGGGCGCATGTGCTCGCCAGACAGAGAGAGAGACAGAAAGACAGAAAGCGAGAAATCACCCCCCAGGGGGGATGGTTACGCTGCAATCCCTTCTCTTCCATTCTCCTCTCGGGATCTTGGGCACGCACACGCACACGCCCAGCGTGAGTTTTAAGCCACCGGGTCCAGGACGCGAACCGCGGTCGACTACATGGGAGTCCAGCGACACAGCCATTACGCTAACTGCTGGTCCCTACTCTCATTCTTATAAGGGATTCTATTTATTGTAAGCAGCATTTTAGGGAAACAAGATAATTGGAAACACCAATGGTAAGAAAATAAAATTTTACTTTACAAGGGATCATTGATAGAATAAAGATAATAAATACAACAACTAACATTTATTAGTTCCCCTTTGAGTCAATTCTTTGTAAGCTGTTTGTGTACAATAATTCATTTAATTCTTAGTAGCCCCATGAGAGAAGGCCTATTATTCTTCACACTTTAGATGACAAAATAGAGATTCAGAGAGATTACGGAAGGTAGCCACTGCTCACTCTCTCTCACAGCTGGAGAGTGGTGGAGCTATGAGTGGCACCCAGATTCTCTCACTTCTGTCTCTATAACAAGCAACAGGATTTAAAGGAGCTTATGGATTCTGATAGACTTCTATTTTCCCAACCAAACTTCCTTTCTTACATGAGGTATTACCTACATTTTAGGTACTGTGTGTATTCCTAGGTTAGATTTACCCATTTATTCAGGGATCAATC